CTACTCTGGTACTTGCTTTGATAATTTTATCTCCATGTGCTGATTATGTTATGGCAAATAAAATCAATCCATACACGTGCCAGGTTCTACATTGGACATAGCTGATTGTCACTGTACTAATCGGAGTTACATAAATTTATGTTACAGTTTATATATATGTATTCACAATGTTCATTGTTACGTTTATTTGATTCCCTATTACTTACACCATCCATGTTGACAATGATTTTCAATCAAATTTGAAGTGCCCTACATTCAGAACAGATATTTCATAACCACTTCCGTCTATTATGACAAGGTGATATCCTTTACAGATGCTGGTTATATAAAGGAAGTACCTTACTATCCTAACATTAGTATAGTCAGCTATATAAATTCTCCCTCGGACGTAAAGTTTAACAGTTTTAGTCATAATAAAGAGTACAATTGATGAGTAACTAACGTAATTAAAAGAAAAATTCATGTTATTCTGTTGTTCAAATCACTATTTTGTTTTCAATATTTTCAGGTGAATTAAAAGAATTTTTCTGTATGACACGGTTGTTTCATACTACTTATACACTACTGAACATCATCCATAACATAAATTTAGTACGATATGAAAATCACCTGATAAATTGGTATCTATCTATTTAAACATATAAATGTTTGCATAAGAAGGCACCAAATAGATATGCGCCACACAAGTCACTTGATTTGAGTGCGGGCTGTGATACGGATGCCCAAACCGTATAACGTGGTTTCCTAGGGGAGGGACACTACGAGACTTCGACATACAGGTCTAATCCGCAAAGCAGTGGACCAGTGTAAAGAGACGTAGTTCCATGGTAGCCGGTGACCACTTGTTCCCTCAAGATCCTGTAGCTCATATACATCATTGGTTCGGGATCAGAGTTTTCCAACTCCCCAAGATGAATGTTTGATCTTCCCAAATTCGTAAACAACAGTAATTTCGCGAGAAGGCAGTGAGTAGGACTTCCCTCTGACAGTATTTGTATGCACGTAGCCATATGAAAGCATTTGGAGAGGGAGAGCTGACTCACCCCCCTCTCAATCGCATCAATGCAATAGTGGGTTGAATTCCAATTAGATTTGGCATAAAAATAAAGACATTTTAATAAAACTCTATGATTTGTGAAATCTCTAATTTTCCTTAATCAAAAACTGATCTAACTCAATGAGTAGTTTGTGAATGATTTTTGGAACTATCTAAAAGTATCAATAAACTTCATAACAAAATATCTTGATAGATTAAGTAAAATTCATTTGAATTTTTTTCGAAGAATTTCCACAAACAGATCACAATTTAACTCATTAAAAATGCTCTTTTCTAGTTTAAAACTATGCAAGTTTATGACTTAAATTATAGAATACATGTATAGGGGTCCAAGCATATACAATTACATCAACATCAGTTGAATATAGTCTATAATTCATTGACACAATTGATATGAATCATTTGATTTAGATAGTTTTTTCTGTTGATTAGATTCAACACTATTTACTTATTTTAACACAAAGATATTAGTACGAGAGGGCACCAAATGTATGTGCGCCACACCATACTTGTGTGTATGGGCTGTGATATTGCACGGATGCCCAGACCGAAACAGGTGGTTTTCTTAGGGGGCCACACCCCAAGCCTTTGATCTAAAGGTCTGATCCACAAGGCAATGGGGCATCGTGAGGAGACGCAGTCCCATGGTAGCCGGTGACCAACGATTGGTTAGGAATCAGGGTTTTCCAACTACCCTAGGTGGACTTTCCATATCCACCAACCCGGTTAAAGCGACGGATATTCTGTTTTCATCCTCTCAATTTCGTGAACAACACCCATGGTGAGAGAAGGCAATGAGTAGGATTTTCCTGGGAAAGGCGTGGCCATGTGAGAGCATTTCGAGAGGGAGAGCGGACTCTCCCCACTCTCGACCGTACCAGGGCATTTGGGGAAAGATTCAATACAATAACTGTAATGAATGATTATCAAGCAAAATTTCACTGAAGAGTAGTAACATTCATCATATTTCAAGTATTGAACAACAGTACTTGATTAATGTTTTCCGTTTCCTGTTTCTATATTATTTTAAAGCGGCTCACATGTAACTTTACATAAGTTCTATTAGATTGCTTATTATTACCGTAAATGAGAAAAAGTGTAGACAAAACGTAATACAAAATGTGATGAAATTAGTAACTAATATGATTACCATGTAAAAACATAGTTGTTGACAATATAGACAATAATGACTACATTTCTAAATGTCAAACTGAGAAATTACTTGAAAAAAAAAATTATGGAATAGGACGTTTCAGGTACAGAAGCTGTTAGACACATGTGGATAGTTGTAATCTATCAAATAGCCTATACATTGAATGGAAATTTTTTATTAAAGGACCTGAAAAGAAAACCCGATGAACTGTGATCTTCTATGGCTGGGAGTATGAGTGTATTTGACAAAGGAAAACTATTTTCAATCAATTAAATACAGCCTACTACTAATTAGAAATTTATAATTTGCTAATCTTGTAACAGAAAACTGTGGGACAAGATGAAGTGTCCTACATTCAGCGCAGACATTCCACAACCACTTCCATCTGTTACGACAAGGTGATATCCTATTCAGATACTGGTTATCTAAAGGAAATATCTTAATGTCATAACATAGTAGAGTCAACTATACAACTTCACCCTCGGAGGTTAAGCTTGGGTATTTTCAATCGACCGGCTTTGTATCCTAATATCTAAACGAACAAGTGTTCTAGTAAAGCAGAGTTCGATTTTGTTGTCATGACAGTCAAGTCCGAATACTACATCAAGATAGTAAGCAGAACTGGACTCAGTCAATCATTCAGTGGCTTTATGAGCTGGTAACACACATGGCTAACTTTTTTGAAAGTTAGTTTTATGTTATCCAGGATTGAGTGTGGAGGTAAGTGACGGTTCGGAATACAAAGTAAACCAGATCCCAGCAGAGGAAGAAATCAGGAAGAAGCGCTGGAAGTGGATAGGACACACATTGAGGAAAGCATCCAACTGCGTCACAAGACAAGCCCCACATGGAATCCTCAAGGCCAAAGGAAAAGAGAAAGACCAAAGAACACATTACGCCGAGAAATGGAAATAGACATGAGAAAAATGAACAAGAATTGGATGGGACTAGAAAAGAAGGCTCAGGACAGAGTGGGTTGGAGAATGCTGGTCGGCGGCCTATGCTCCATTGGGAGTAACAGGCGTAAGTAAGTAAGTAAGTAAGTAAGTAATATGCTTTATCAATCTCAATTGACGAACATTCATAACTTCACTACTACTACTATTATAGTTCTTAAAAATAATAAATACTATTAGGAAGAGCGGAAAAGAAGGAAATATTATTGTAAAAGAATACCAACCAGTAATCAAAATAATTTTCCGTATAAAAAAAATTATGGAAACTTTTTAGACGAGGTGAGCGGAGATACACATCAAGAACAACTTTATCAAATCTATTCACCAGGTATACATTAAGCTGCACAACTTGAAGTAGTTGAAAGTTCAATGAGTTATCCATTTCCTCTTAGACTTCCAAGTAACCGGAAGGTTTTCATGACAACACTAAAGAATTATGCTAACAATTATTGTGTAAATATTACATTACGATAAAGACTGAAAAATGGTAATATTAAAACTCCAATTGTATTGGAATTTGATGCAAATAATAACAAAACTTGTTCAATACTTTTAAACGATTGAGCCCAATACAGTGTGATTTATTGTTTATCATATGTTTGAATGCTATTACGAGTTCACTTTACTCAGTAAACGGAATGAAGGTCAAAGGTACAGTGATACGACAGACTATTCTAATCCGTTGTACACGGTCCTGCTAACTAGGATCAAGAAATCTTAATGAGGCGTAGAGAATGCATTCTACAAGCATCCAGAAAATATAAGGTCACTATGCTCACAAATCAAGCTTATTTATACAATGAAAAAAAAACGCCATTGGCAGAGCCACAAAATAGGCGTACTGAAAAATCCGTCAACCAATGACAGTCAAGGATTTCCGACTGAGAAATGTAAGGTGTAAGTCAACTAAGCGTCTCTTAGCGCGTAAACATAAAATTCAAATTTTCAGAATAAAATTACAAAATTAGGACCTTTTCCAAGGGAGTCCTGGGGATGTAACGTCCTCAAGAGTTTAGTGGATGATAAGTGAAAAACAACTTTAATTTAAGACGTAAGGGATATACACACCTAGATTATATCATAACAATTAGAATAGGTTAATAAGAAAATAATAAACGTTTAACTCAAACAATATAACAGTAAGTGACGAATTCCAGACTGTAGCTGCAACTATGACATATCAGACAGAATTATCGATTGTAGTAATTCAATAGAGTAATATGGGTTGGAACAATTGTTTTATAAGATCACAACCATGTTAAGATAGGTCGGTTGGGGAACAGAAGGACTAAAAGTAGCAAATTGATGGTCTGAAGACGAATTTGTATTACTATAACTGTTCTAAAGTGTGACGATAGTAAGCTGTTCCGCTTAAGCAACTAGCGTCTAAAGTAATACTGCCTAATAACCTTAACTGATGAACACATATACCAGGTTCCACGTTGCGTATGACTTACTAGCTTATTCGATTCAATATTTCAATTAAAAAGAGTCTAAATAGGTATAAGCTACAATAAGAAGCATGAACCTTGACATGGATGACTAGATTCATTCTTTTTATTTACAGTGTTCACTGTGATAAATAATCTAAACGTGTCAATCGTTTATAGGCTTGACTAGTGGGCTTACTGATTTCAGCACTATAAACTCAACCTGTAGGTGGCATCTTCGATTCTATTAAATGCTTCGCATAGTAATACTTGTACAAAAATTTGTGTATCAAGTACATAAACATACACCATATGAGTGAATTAATACAATCAATCACCATGTCATGTAAATAAAAGAACGATTTACATAAAATTCAACATATTCAATCATTAATATAACTTACTCAGCTCTATCTTCTAACCATAATAAAGGTTTAGCACCAGCACGTAAACCATGAGCATAAATTGAAGCAATTTTACGATAATTTTTGTTTTTTTCAAGTAATTGACACCATGTAACATAAAATTCAGAACACATTGTACCAATACCTTGTCGAAATAATAATTCAAATAATTCAGTTGGTTGATTACAATATTCTGTCTAAAATATTATGAAAAGATAAAAACAAGGTGATGAGATGAAAGAGAATTACATAATAAAAGTGTAATAATAGTGTAGTCATCAAACATTTCCTTCATACAGGATATCAGGTTGATACCTTGTTTATTATTATTTATTTATTTTAACACATAGATATTGGTACAAGGAGGTACCAAATACATATGCATCACACAAATCTCATTTGATTTGTGTGTGAGCTGTGATACTGCACGGGTGCCCAAACCACAGCAGGTGGTTACCTTAGAGGGCCACATCCGGAGCCTAAAGGTCTAATTCACAAGGCAGTAGAGCAACTTAAGGAGATGCAGTCCCATGGTAGCCGGTAGCCAACAATAGGTTCATACGCCATTTCTCCCATCAAGATCCTGGAGCCAGTCCATGTGCACCATTGGTTTGGAATCAGGGTTTTCCAACTCCCCTAGGTGGATCCTCCGTATCCACTAACGCGGCTAAAGCATCAAACATCCGCTTTTCATTCTCTCAATTTCGTAAACAACGCTCTGGCTAAGAGAAGGCAGTGAGTAAGACTTCCCTAGCAGTGATTGTATGTACGTGGCCATGTGAAATCATTTCGAGTGAAAGAGTTGACTCTCCCCACTCTCAGTCGTACCAAAGCATTTGGGGGGCACATATGTCTACAATATATAAACTTAGGCATATGTACATTAAAATACAAACTAATTAGTTTATTCTTTTACAGTTACAATGTTATGGACTCAAGGAAAATGAAGCAATAAATACACAGAGAAAGATCAACAGGAAAACATGATTTGTTTAACTATATATTCTATTTTTCATACTATTTCGATACACTTCTAATGATTAACAAGAAATCAAAGAATAAAAATGATAGAAAAAAGTAATTTGTTCTTTTTTTTATTTATTTAATGATAAATTAGTTGAAATTCATAATAAATAAGCATCTGTATTCACATGTGTATATCTAATACTATGTAAGTACTTGGATCTTGTTTATTGAAAGGAAATTTATCAAGTTGTTATGTTTGTCTACAAAATAGTACATTTACTCATTTATCTAATGTATCATTCATTTAATCATTCCCTTCCCTCCCTCCCTCACTCACTCACTCACTCACTCACCCACTCATTCTCTCTCTCCCTCCCTCCCTCATTCATTCATTCATTCCCTTACTCACTCACTTGCTCACTTAGTTAATTGTTCATCAAAATTGTTTCTATCAGACAAACATTATTTCATTTTAGATAAAGAGAAAAAAAAATACAATGTAGACAAGGTAAACAAGAGATAAGTTACATTAATTCATTTGATAAAAGCATTCATGATGAATGTCTGTTGTTGTTTTTTTTTTTTCTTCTTTAAACTGAGACAACAACAAAAAAAACAACAACCCATCATAACAACCAAAGGAAATTACCGAAAGAAGATTTATAATAAAACATTATATAGACGATGACAAACGACTAATTATATTGCAATTTTTCGGTATATATATATACTGAATTGATAACCTGATGAGTACAACACTGAACTTCTAAGTTCAAATACTAATCTAATTGAATAAGTGAATAACATCAAAGGTTCATATAAAAACATAAATATATGACACAAAGATATGTAGAAAAGCACATTCCTAACTTACTTATTTACGCCTGTTACTCCTCATGGAGGAGCATAGGCCGACCACCAGCACTCTCCATCCAACTCTGTCTTGGGTAATCCTTTCCATATCTACTTCCGTTTCCCGACGTAATGTGTTCTTTGACCTTCCTCTTTTCCGCTTCCCTTCAAGATTCTAGGTTAGGTCTTGCCTCGTGATGCAGTTTCATGATTTTCTCAATGTGTATCCTATCCTTTTCCAACATTTCCTTATTTACCCGTCAGCTGGAAGTTGGTTTGTTCTCTCACAGATAAGGCTGTTGCTGATGGTATCCGGCCAATGGATGTGGAGTATCCTGCGTAGACAACTGTTTATAAATACTTGTACCTTTTTGATCATGGTTGTAGTAGTTCTGCAAGTTTCAGCTCCGTACAGTAGGAAATTGTTTGACAGGTGTTTTGAGTTCCATATGCTCTTCAATTTTAGGAATGCGGTGCCTGCTTTTCCAATTCTCGCGTTTACGTTTGCATCTGATCCTCCTTGTCAATCGATTACGCTTCCAAGGTATGTGAAGGATTCCACATCTTTCAGAGTTTTGCCATTATATGTGATTTGGTTGGTGTTCTGCGTGCTGTATTTCAGGATTTCGCTTTTTTCCTTTGTATATGTTGAGGTCTACTGATGCAGAGACTGCTGCTACACTAGTTGTCTTCATCTGCAATTGTTCGTGTGTATGGGATAGGAGGGCTAGGTCATCTGCGAAGTCCAAATCGTCTAATTGGTTCTGAGCTGTCCATTGTATTCCGCGTTTTTCCTCAGATGTCGAAGTCTTCATAATCCAGTCGACCACCGCATTGCTTACTTCAATATATATTCGCATGAAAGATCATTTACTTTACATAATGAAATGAGTAAACTACGAATTGATATCGAGTGTTATTAGAAATATGACTTCCCACTCCTTGAAAGGATTGTTCTTCTCGACGAAAAAAGAAGTGTAAATTAGATTATTTGTTGCCTACACAACCTCGGATCTTGACCGAGGTCCCCAACAAAAAACTCTTTGAAATCGATCACACATGGGCTTTACGTGAGTGACCTTTAACCTAACACCTCCATAAGATTATGCAAAGTGTAGTAAATTTAGCATAAATATCTCTGGTCGCAACTGTTATATCCCGATGAGAATAATGAATGGTAACTGTTGGATCTATTTCTGGACCAATACTAAACGTATATTTTTAACGTATAATTGTTAAATAACTAAACTATTCATATTCGTGTTCCCCTTATTATGAGCTTAATTTTGACCTATGAACTATGATTATATGATTTACCATTCTTGAGTTATACCCAGTCTATCAATTACTATCTCCTACATTCACAGCCACTTTGGTCAAATCTTGTACAAATGTTGTTTCTTATTTTATGGTACGATGTGGTCTGTTTGGTTGGTGTATATAAACCCAGTATGCTTGAAATAAATGATTTATATTGCAGAGGCTGAAATTGGTGTTCTGGACTTAACTGGCTGGGTTAGGTGGGAAGCAGGATCGATAAGGACTCTAGACTGCTCGTACAGGTTTTATGCGTCATTGGTCCAGTCGATAATTCACTGTTCTCTAATTGTCGATATCATAACGTCATATATTAATAGGACACAAGGCACAAGTTATAACAGTAACCAATCATACAATATCCGATATTTCATTACTTTATTTGTACGTTATATTTTAACCATTGCAAATAATGAAACATTGAAACACCTATTTTTACATGTTACATTTTATGTTATCACTATAAACTAGATCATAAACAATATAAGGAGATCCTACTACATGACTTGGGCGTATTTAAAATATTTCACAATATACATAAATTGAACATAAGAAACTGTGTACATTAGTTGATAAGGCTGTGAATTAAGTAAAGTGTTGATTGTTTCAACTCCTATTGATCATCTATATAGTTTCTGTTTATTATCTTGATTTGCTGCAGATATTTGAACTAACGTACACTTACATCTACTTTTATGATGATTACAAAACAACTGAATGATGATATGTACAATCAAAGAACATGTCAGTTAACCGATAGTGTTAAATGTCAGTTAAAAACTACTGAATATACTAATAACAAGTCGAAATCTCTATCACTTTCTTCGAATTCAACAGTATATCCACAGAATATATATATGCAATAGATTGGACTCACAAGTTTAATCCAATTTCCCACATAAGTATCATCGTTTTTTATCCCCGGTAAGTCGGATGAATCTCGTATGGATCGATAGAGAACATTTTGTAAGTCAGCACATTTGCCTAATGAAGGATAATTTTGTTCAATCCATTTGATATATCTAAAATTAAAAAAGAAAACAAACAAACATTATGGTAATAATAAATAAATTTACAGCAAAGTGAATAAGACAGATATTTATCCATTGAGTAGCAGGTTTAGATCCCACTTCATCCTGAATTTAGTTCAAGAAACTGACAAATATTCTGTAGTTGACTTGCTTTTTGTTGGTGTTGATGAAAATCATGAACGTAGGTAGATCTCATGATTGATCATACTAAATGCTGCTGATGTACCGCAGTGAATCAAGTGGAATATCATAACGTTTTTCTTTTTTCACTGGTTGAAATCATGAGTCAATTGAAACTAGACCACCATGGAAAACCTGGAAGCACTGGACGACCGTTTCATCCTAGTATGGGACTCCTCAACAGCGCGCATCCACGACCTCACCCCCTGCGAGATTCGAACCCAGGACCTACTGGTTTCGCGCGTGAGCACTTAACCAGTAGACCACTGAGCCGGCATCTAACGGTGTTAATGTCTAACTCCAAACAAATCTTTTCGTAAAAGGATTTTGTGGATATTATAGTAATTTAATAGTTGAATCCATGAGTTAATTAAAGGTAGACCATCGTAGAAAACATGGAAATACTAGAAGGCCGTCTCGTCCTAGTATAAGACTCTTCAAAATGCGTATCAATGATCCTATTAGCGGGAATCGAATTAACGATTTATCGGATTTTTTTTTCTAATTTATAATGATTCTAACCTCAATAAACCCCTAAATACATACAAGAAAACAAGCAATTAGAAAAAAAAACATTAGTGTTTAAGATAGAATAACTTCATTGAATAAGATGGAGTAGATTACAATCATATCCACGAAAAATGAAAACTATACAGTAAGAGATTTTGTTTTTCTCTTAGAAATACAGGAAACTATGAAAACACTAGAATAATCCATAAATAGTAACTCGTAAAGCAAAGTTTTGAAATAAAATAGGCAAATATACAAGAAGAATAAAATACTCTGCATACTACATAAACTGGTGTGAATAGAAAAGTAAACACAGATACACACACACACACATAGAAAGGATCTATTCACTTTATCCTATATACAGAATTTTCAATACTCAACTACACTAAATCAAATATAGTCTTATTCAACCTAGTCTCCTCGAAATAATTTATTTGCAATGATGTACAAGCCTTAGATAGACTAGAATAATTGAATGAAACAACATGATGGATATATTGTAGTTCAATGATTGTTTTAAATAAACAATTCTATGATCACTATTACTATTACTTGAAATAGTAGTAACAAGTAATAGTGAAACTTTATTATTATTATTATGGTTTATCTTGTAGCCACTTCACATGGAAATGAACAATAAATAAATATTTACGTGAATATATATACCTATAATAGAAATGTCAAATTATTGGCAAGTGACAATCGCAATAAGAATGCCAATGTACATAATAGGATGTGGAGTGTGTGTGTGTGTGTACAATACACAACAACAAAAATGACCAAGATAAAATGTTATCATCTTTAAGAGAAAGGGAAAATAAAAGTAAACAAACCACCACCACCACCACCAACAACAACAACAAAATAGAAAACACTAAAGGGTAATAAATAAAATATGTCAGAAAGTTCATAGTATAAATTACAAAGATCAGAAAAACCACAACCTTCATTCCCCTTCCCCTCCAACTTGCTTAAAATAATATTTACACAAATGTAAACAATAAACAAAAGAATATGATACATACAAATAAAATAAATAGAAGAGTATTGTAGAATACAATAATTAAAATTACTTTAAGTAGGATAAATGGAAGCACAAGTAATCTAGTAGAAGAGATGAATTATGGTTAGTAGTGGAATTCAAGGATGAAGGTTAATGTTATAGGTTAAGTAGATATTTCATTGTGATACTGATATGCACACTTCTTATATAAGAACTCAATCTGCAAGCTAAGTAAATAGATTAAGAAGGAATAGAAAGTTGTACTAGCAAATGATATCGAGATGTATAAACATTTTGGTGTATTTAAATATGTCTCACACATAATTAAGCATAACCTCAGTTAATAGCGTTCAACTATCAGCAAGTGCCACAAACAATCTTGCATGATATTAGAAATATCAGGGCGGTTGTCACTTACTGGTTGTTCACACAATGGAAAGATTAATTAACTACTTATTTATTCATTTAAATACGTAAACGTTGGTAAAAGGAGGCACTAAATAGATATGCGCCACATAAATCATTCTATTTATGTGTGGGCTGTTATACTGCCCGAAGAAATTGGTTTTCCTAGGAGGCCACATCCGGAGCCTTCGAATTAAAGGTCTGATACATAAGGCAGTGAAGCAACGTAAGGAGATGCAGGCCCATGGTAGCTGCTGACCAACGATCGGTTCATACGCCATTTGTTACTTCAGGATACTTGAGCCAGCCCATGTGCACCATTGGTTTGGAATCAGGGTTTTCCAACTACCCTAGGCGGACTCTCCATGTCCACCAACCCCGATAAAGCGCCGGACATTTGCTTTTCTTCCTCTCAATTTCGTGAACAACAGTAATGCTGCGAGAAGGCAGTGAGTAGGACTTCCCTGTCAGTGGCTATATTCGCGTGCCCATGTGAGAGTATTTCGAGGGAGTGGGGAATCTCCCACTGTTCTGCTTAATGTATGCAAAACGTGGCCATTAGGAGTAGAAGATACTCGTAAGTTGTTAGGATTTGATCACAGAAGTCTTTGAAATATTGCTCGCATCTACTGAGATCACCGGGTAAGTAATAGTAAGGTTAGATGCAGGGTATTAGGGAATGATGGTAAATCAGTTGATGAGGTTGTTAATCTTCATCGACTGAGATGGTCGGGCCTCGTATTACGTATACCTGAACACCGGTTACCATGACGTGCAATGCTGACTATTACTGGAGACGGCTGTAAGAAAATTAGAAGCGGCCAAACCAAAACGTGTTATCAGTCCTTGAAGTCACTAATTTCTAGTGCGAGCATATTAGTAGATGCAGACTAGTTGGTTGGGGTCTGCGTGACTATCGTAACCAATGGTTAGAGACAGTGTGTGACATGGCTCAGAATCGATCACAATGGCGTCCGTGTATACACAGTTTGTCTTCATACTACCTGATAAACTGTTTGTATTCCTTTAAACTATGAGGTTAAAATTGCTTTTTTTCTTTCTTTCTACTAAGTGATTCTTTCTTTCTGTACTATATCCTTAAACACAATCTTTCTTTTATAAATTACTACCATTGAAGTAACTACTTTTATGAATTTGGTGTTCATCTTGCTGTACTGATGCGGTATGCAACTTGAACCGATGCATATATATGCCTGATCCTACGTTGTAACTGACTGACTGACTATGTAAAAGAGCTTACATTTTGGTTACTGAAACTCTATTCAAAATAAGTAGAAATAATTAATCTCATCAATATTTGTAACATTATTATTATTAATTACATAATAATCATAATTCATTAATTGAAACTTATGAATAAAGTCAATTATTATTCCATAGGCATTAATCATTTTAATATGGAAAAAAAATCTCTTATTCAACAATTCTCTTGTGTTTTATTTCTTGTTAGTAACCCCAATACTTATCCCATACTCACTCACTTATCAACTCATTCATTCATACACAATGATACTTTCATCCAAATTCTCTTTCTTTTTGGTTTATATTGTTAATAATTTCCATCAGAAGATGGATTTCATGAAGGAATAATGATAACAGTGGTGGTGGTGGTGGTAATAGTAGTCTAGTAGTAATAGAAGTGGTCGAATAAAGGATAACTTGTATGATGAAAACTGTGTAATAAAATAAAACCTACTGAATGACATTTTAAGCGACAATACAATGAAGAAGAATAAGAAGAAGGAGAAAAAAAGAAAAGTAGAATAAAGAATAATTAATAATGAAGTCAAAACATCATAACAAAAAAAAGTAGAGAAAACTGGAACAATTAAATAAAAGTAATAAATTACACTTCATTGAAATATGAATGAAATCAATTATAATAAGATTCATGATGGTAAGATCATTTACAGATGCATTTCTATAAACTAATTAACTAACTATTAATAATAATAGATAATGGTATTTAGAATCATCACAATATAGAATTATACTACTGATAAAATACAGATAATAAGTAGTGTTGAAAAAAATCGTGACAAATGAAATAGACAAAACGATACAACAGTAAAGAAAGAACAAACTAATGAGATTTAGAATAAAGGAATGATATTCTAAAAGAAAATACGAAAGTATAGAAATTAATATGGGTGAAGTAATAATAAAGAGAAGAGGTGACCTCAAAAAGAGGGAGGGAGAGAGGGAGAGAGAAGTCAGAGGAAGGAAGGACGATATGAACTAAACAAAAATAAGTTATTAAAGGAAAAAAAATAAGTGGAAATAACCCGGAAGGGAAAGACTGATGAGTGTTTTTGTTGCTGTTTAGAGTGATTCATTACTTTCGATCGATACCATCATCATCGATTGGGAACGCGCATAAGATATGCACACACATGAAGAGATCAGTGTATTAAAATGAAGTTAAAATAAACAACCCATAATAAGTAGTCTTATAGATTTAATCTTGGTAAAGTGTATTCTCTATACATAAACCATAGAGTATGTCGGATGTAAGAGAGTAAGAAGTAATAATAACATAGTAACAAATATATCAATAGATCAGAATAAACTTAAAATATTGAGAAAAAAACATGAAAAATCAACACAATCAAGATGAATTCCATATATTGATTCAAAGTCTTGCGTCAATTACTACGATTTAAGTAGACAGTTAATACACTATCATATCTCTTTCTCGAATAAAACGATACTGATCGAATCCAAGGTATTTAAATCTACTCATTTTGTTCATGATTCACTCTGGATTGACCAATAAAACAATTAATTAATCAGTCTAAGTGAATAAATAAACATCCATTCATTCAATGTGTCCCATGAAATTGAAAACACAGCGATTTATTTACGCCAT